CAAAAGGGGAGAGGGAGAGAAAAGAGAGGGAGAGGAGGAGAGAGGGAGAGAGAGGGAGAGAAAGAGAATGGGAGGGAGAGATGGAGGGATGGAGGGAGGAAAAGGAGGGAGAGAGAGAAAGGGAGGGGGAAGGGGAGGGGGAAGAGGGAGGGAGAGAGAGAGAAAGGGAGGGAGAGTGGGAGAGGGAATGCGAGGGAGAGAGGGAGGAGAGGGAGGGGGAAGGAGAGGGAGAAGGGGAGAGAGGGAGAGGGAGGGAGAAGGGGAGAGAGGGAAAGGGCAGGGGAGGGAGAGAGAGAAAAAGGGAGGGAGAGGAAGAGAGATGGAGAGGGGGGGAGAAAGAGAGAGAGAGAGAGAACAGGACGGACAGAGGGAGGGACAGAGGGAGGAAAAGAGGGAGGGAGAGAGAGAAAGGGAGGGAGAGTGGGAGAGAGGGAATGAGAGGGAGAGAGGGGGGAGAGGGAGGGAGAAGGGGAGAGAGGGAGAGAGAAAAAGAGAGGGAGAATGGGAGAGAGAGGGGAGGAGGGAGAGAGAGAGAAAAAGGGAGGGAGAAGGGGAGAGAGGGACAGACAAGGAGAGAGAGAAAGAAAGGGAGGGAGGAAGAGAGACTACATCATGTCACATTCAGCAAGTTGTAGAGCAAGCCACCAATTTCGCTCCTTACTTTCTTCTCTCCACCAAATGTTTGCATAATCTTCAGTATTCGGGCAATTGCCAAGGGTGGGGGGTGAGGGGTGGTGGTGAGAAGGGAGAAAGCCAGCAGATTCATGACTCAGAGTTGACATAAATTTTGGCTTTGTGAGCAGAGCTGCCGAATACAAAGAGAGAGAGGTGGGGAAAAGCCACACAACACACGCCATGCCTAGTTTTTAATAGTGTTCCCAGATTTCTTTTGTCGGTCTGCTGCAGTGGTTCTTAAGATGGCTTACCAGCCGCAGATGAAACAAACAACTAATCCCAAGGAAAATAAAATAAAATAAAATAAAATAAAATAAAATAAAATAAAATAAAAAAAATAAAATAAAATAAAATAAAATAAAATAAAATAAAATAAAATAAATAAATAAAATAAAATAAAATAAAATAAAATAAAATAAAATAAAATAAAATAAAATAAAATAAACAACGCAGGTCAAAGGAAGCCACAGTCTGCTGCCAGAACCCACCAATTCACCGCTGACCCAGAGAAGCAGATCTGTTTTCATTTGTTGTCTGAATTTAAAAAAGAGAGAGAGAGAGAGAGAGAGAGATCTTGGAACAAAATTCTGTAGCAGAGAAGCATTTGAGAAAGGACTGTTTCTGCAGCGTTACCTGCCTTAAATAAAACACAATCTCTGACAAACGTCTAGACAACTGAGAAGGTTCATGCAGAAAAAGAGACAATTCTAGAGCGGTTTCTTCTGAATGTGAAACTATGTTTTATAACCTCGAAGCCCAAGTAACAGGGAATTTATCCAAAGGTGATTTTTTTTCAGGAGGCAATTGGACTTTCTGGTTTTTTCTTTTGAAGACGTTTCGCTTCTCATCCAAGAAGCTTTTTCAGCTCTGACTGGATGGTGGGGAAATGGAAGGATTTATATTCCTTGCAGACAGCTGGTCCTTTGCATCCTTTTAGAGGGTCGTTGAGGCCACTAGGAGGTTTATCTGTGTCCTCAGGGTCACCTGAGTAGCACTCCTGGTTCCTGTAGTTTTGGAAATCCATTCCTACTCCCACATCATTCAAGGGGTGTTCATTGCAAATTGTACGGCTAGCTGTCTGCAAGGGATAGAAATCTTTCCATTTCCCCACTATCCAGTCAGAGCTGAAGAAGCTTCTTGGATGAAAAGCAAAACCTCTTCAAAAGAAAAAAACAAGAAAGTCCCAAAAAAGCACCTTTGGGACAACTACGGCCTGGATGACTAAGAATCTCCATAAAGTATCTTGTGCTGTTTATTGATTGATCCTTTAATCGTGTTTTGAAAGTGTCATTTGCTTCCCTAATGTGTGGCGGTCAGATGAGTTGGCCTTCTGTGGCTTGTGAGATTTATTTCTGGAACCTTCCCCTTCAACTCATAAATTAGAGGGTTTTTTAAAAAAAAAAATGGGAGAAACCTCACGAGGTCACCAAATGTGATGAGCTTTTGATGCTCTTCTGTGGGCTCTCAGGAGGTTTCAGGAGAGAAGGTCCCCACCGCAGGAGATGTTAATCGTCTCCCACAAGGGTCTCAGCTTTTGCACCTGAGAATGGTGGGAGCAAAATTGGTGACCTTGGGGTGCTTTCTGCCTTCTGGAACACAGCCCCAACGTTCACACTAAAGGCTGCAAGCAACTGTTATGACAAAGAGAGGATTTCCCACATTCTAAGGGTTTACCGCCCTTCCCTATCTTATCCCAAAGACCGCCTTTTAATATACTGAACTGGAAAGGCTAAAATAAACATGATTAGTGTCTTGATTTTATGTGGGTTTTAAAAAAAGATATTAAGCCCCCTCCCCTTGAAATAAGTACTCAACGTAAGTGCGTAAAATTGGAAAGCGGGTCTAAGGAGCCCTAATTATTAAGGAGATAAGGCGGATGGAGCTGGGGTTTCGTCTAAAGAAATTTTATGACTGCTTGCTTCATCTTGACTTGCCAAAATTGCTTATTTAACAACCCGTTTATGAGCTGCTTACTCTTGTCTGCAGCCTACTTTACACAGAGTCAAGGATCTATTAATGCAATCGCAGCTCTACTATCCTTACTTCTTCTGAACTCCACAAAGGCAGACGAGAAAGATGCTAGGCCTGTAAGGGTGAAGAAGATGTCCAGGAGTTGTGTGTATAAACAAGACCAAATATTGTTGTGTCAAAGGTGTTTTCTCAAAAGGCAACCGGAGTTTGTTTTCCCTTGAGGATGATTTGCTTCTCATCTAAGAAGCTTTTTCAGTTGTCATCCAAGAAGGTTCTTTAGAACTTCAGAACTCTTCTTGGATAAGAAGCGAGAAGTCTTCAAGGACAAAGTCCAATTGTCTTTTTAAAAGAAGCTTCTTCAGTTGTCATCCAAGAAGGTTCTTCAGTTCTTCAGAACTCTTCTTGGATAAGAAGCGAGAAGTCTTCAAGGACAAATAAAGTCCAACTGTCTTTTAAAAAGAAGCTTCTTTTGTTCTCATCCAAGAAGGTTCTTCAGTTCTCATCCAAGAAGGTTCTTCAGTTTTTCAGAAGTCTTCTTGGATGAGAAGCAAAATGTCTTCAAGGACAAACAAAGTCCAAATGTCTTTTCAAAAGAAGCTTCTTCTGTTCTCATCCAAGAAGGTTCTTCAGTTCTTCAGAACTCTTCATGGATAAGAAGCGAAATCTTCAAGGACAAACAAAGTCCAATTGTCTTTTAGAAAGAAGCTTAGGTTCTCATCCAAGAAGGTTCTTCAATTCTTCAGAACTCCACTTGGACGAGAAGCAAAATGTCTTCAAGGAAAAACAGTTGCCTTTTGAAAAGAAGCTTCTTCAGCTCTCATCCAAGAAGGTTCTTCAGAACTCTTCTTGGATGAGAAGCAAAATACCTTCAAGGAAAAACAAAGTCCAGTTATCTTTTGAAAAAGCATCTTTGGGACAACCATGACCTGGATGACTGAGAATCTCCATAGAACTCAAATACTCCTGTGCTTATTCTGAGTCATGAATAGTGACTACAGTGATTTAAACGCTCTTTAAAATTGATGAGCCTTTTATTCTAATGCTCTTCCTATTCTAAATATGAATATGCATGTGGAATATGGATGAGAGCCGAGACTGGTGAGATAGGAACGCTTGGTTTTCAAGCTAAAGAGAACTTGTAATGTAAATGTAACACAGTTTCCTACCTAATAAATCAAGTAATCTTTGAAGTGAGCATCCATCTTTAATTTGGAAGGGCAGGAGGAAGAAGTCTACAGGTTAAACACGGGAATATTGATGTGTACTTGCCTGACTTATTTTGACCTTGATGGACAATCAGCTGTTATGTTTAAGACACTTAATCAGGGATGAAATCCAGCAGGTTCTGATAGGTTCTGGAGAACCGGTAGTGGAAATTTTGAGTAGTTTGGAGAATCGGCAAATACCACCTCTGGCTGGTCCCAGAGTGGGGGTGGGAATGGAGATTTTGCAGTATCCTTCCCTTGCCACGCCCACCAAGCCACGCCCACCAAGCTACACCACACCCACCAAGCCACGCCCACAGAACCGGTAGTAAAAAAAATTAGATTTCACCACTGCACTTGATGTTTGTCTGCAGTAAAGTTTCTAACCAAGCCAAGTTGGGTCTGAGAATCTTCTGCCAAGTCAAGCCAAACGCTGAATAATGACTTCAGTGTCTGGAGGTTGGACAACCCATTTATCTGAAATGTTATAGGCTTCCTCCTTGAGCAGGAGGTTGGACTAGAAGACCTCTAATGTCCCTTCCAACTCTTGTTATTCTGTTAAATCCGAGAGCTGTGATATATTGAAGAATCTACTGAAATGGACGAGGTTGCCATTTTTTTTTAAATCCTTGTGAACATCTTTCAAATTTGTCTTTTTTTTCTCCCCAGGGTTGTCTTTATTTCCCGCCCCTCCAAGAAATTATTTATTATTTATTATTTTATTACTCCAATTTATATGCCGCCCTTCTCCATAGACTCAGGGCGGTTTACAATGCATTATAGCAATAGCCTGCATACTTAAAGATATTGATCTTTAAAACTGCTTAGAGAGAACTGTAAAATATTATGGGGTGATATATAAGTGCTATTGCTATTGCTTGCTATTGCAGGCTAACTCTGCCCACTGTCAGCAGTTCGATCCTGATCAGCTCAAGGTTGACTCAGCCTTCCATCATTCCGAGGCCGGTAAAATGAGGACCCAGGTTGTTGAGGGCAAGAGGCTGACTCTGTAAATCCGCTGAGAGAGGGCTGGAAAGCACTGTGAAGTGGCATATAAGTCTAAGGGCTATGGCTGTTTCCAAAGTGTTGGAATGCTTCCTGTTGGATGTCCCTCCATGCTAATGACTTTGTTCTTCTGTTTTTTCCTAGTCTGTTCCCAGTTCTCCAGAGGAGTCTATGCCATCTTTGGATTCTATGACCAGATGTCAATGAACACACTGACGTCCTTTTGCGGGGCACTGCATACGTCTTTCATCACACCCAGCTTTCCAACAGATGCTGATGTTCAGTTTGTCATCCAGATGCGTCCGGCTCTGAAAGGGGCCATCTTAAGCCTTCTGACGTACTACAACTGGGAAAAATTTGTATATCTTTATGACACCGAACGAGGTAAGAATACATTTTGATTTTCCAGATGGTTTCTTTTTCCCCTCCCCCCACTTGTATCTTAAATGCAAAAAGTGGCTTAATATAGTAGTCCTTGACTTATGACCACAATTGATGATCAATGGGAAGGGACCTGAAGGAAGTCAACAATTCAAACCATTCGTTTGAACGTCATTTGTTTGTTTTGATGTGGAATGCCCATCGGATTGTTTTGGGATTGAATTTCCAGATCAAAAGTCTGCGGCATTCCTACTTATAAATGTACAATATCTAGTTGCAGTATGTGGGAGTCTGTAATTTGGGACACGGTGGCTCAGTGGCTAAGACGCTGAGCTTGTTTTTTTGTTTTGTTTTTTAAAATTTGATTTATATGCTGCCCTTCTCCGGAAACTCAGGGCGGCTTACAGTGCATTAAGCAAGTGTTGATCAAAACGTCGGCAATTCAGCGGTTCGAATCCCTAGTGCAGCGTAATGGGGTGAGCTCCCGTTACTTATCCCAGCTTCTGCCAACCTAGCAGTTTGAAAGCAGGTAAAAAATGCAAGTAGAAAAATAGGGACCACCTTTGGTGGGAAGGTAACAACGTTCTGTGTGCCTTTGGCATTTAGTCATGGCGGCCCCATGACCACAGAGACGTTTTCGGGCAGCACTGGCTCTTTGGCTTTGAAATGGAGATGAGCACTGCCCCCTAGAGTCGGGAACAACTAACACATATGTGCAAGGAGAACTTTTAACTTTATCTTAATGCCTGTAAGACTTTTGGAGGCTGTTATGATGCCATGGTGCCTTAAGATGCACCCCTCAGTCCCAGGTCTTTTCTTCTGCACCAGGGGTGCAGAATTCTGCTGGGGTTGCAGAATCATCAGGAATTCTGGGAATTGAAGTCCACAGTTTGTAAAGGGGCCATAATTACCAATCCTTGTTCTAAAGGGTTGCAATGAATTTTGCCAGCATCCTAAATATGTGGCAATTTTGGACAGGTTCTCCTAATGCATTGTAAAGTATTTTCAACCAGTTTTCCAGCACATCTTCAGACAACGATGATTTCTTGAATTAGAAAGCAGAATGAAAGTTCTCACATATGTTGCTGCCTTTGAAATGGGAAGGGAGATCCTGGAACTGTCACACTTTTAATAATTTGCACTGTCAATTTCTTTTGCTGCTTCGGGGCACAAGTGCTTCTGGAAGACAATATTGAACAATTTTCTGTCAGTTCTGGAAATATATGATCGTTTAACTATCTCCTCTCTCTCTCTCTCTCTCTCTTTCCACGCGTGTAAACATTATTAGCTTACTAGGGTATTGTTAAAATTGGACAATTGGTGAGAAATTGCAGGGAGCCATTTCTCCCCAGCTTAAATATTGCATTAGTGGGGAAATTGCGTTTGCAAGCATTTTCATGGCAAGCGGTTGTGTTAGCATCTGCCAGGGAGAAGGGAAGCCTGGAGCTCAATCTTAGAATAAGGTGTCACAGAAGCTCTGAAGACTGAAATGATCTCTGTTTCAGATGATTACCGTAGGAGCCTGGAATATGCTTTGCTGGCTGGGCACCGTAATTTACTTCCTTACCTTTGCGTCGCATGTTAAGATGGTTAAGAAGCAAACCTCAGAAAGGGCTTAGTTTTATTTTGGTTTTTATATTGGCTCAGGCCACTATGGTTAGATGGTGTCCTGGAAGGCATTCTGCAGCTACATAAAATAATCACTTATCTCTTCTTATGAACTGGAGCATTAGGGCATTGCAGTTCAGAAGAGAAAGAAAGAAAGAAAGAAAAAAGAAAGAAAGAAAGAAAGAAAGAAAGAAAGAAAGAAAGAAAGAAAGAAAGAAAGAAAGAAAGAAAGAAAGAAAGAAAGAAAGAAGTAGAGTGGAGTAGAGTTGGGTTTCAGTAGGTTCTGACCAGTTCTGGAGCACCGGTAGTAATAGTTTTACTATTTAAAAATATAAATTTTTAATAGTTTTTAATAGTTGAGAGAACAGGTAATAAAAATTCTGACTGGCCCCACCCGCATCTATTCTCTGCCTCCCGAATCCCAGCTGATTGGGAGGAAATGAGGATTTCGCAGTAACCTTCCTCTGGAGTCGGGTGGGAATGGAGATTTTACAGTATCCTTCCCCTGCCACGCCCACCAAGCCACACCCACCAAGCCATGCCACGCCCACCAAGCCACACCCATAGAACCGGTAGTAAAAAATTTGAATCCCACCAGTGGAGTGGAGTGGAGTGGAGTGGAGTGGAGTGGAGTGGAAAGGAAAGGAAAGGAAAGGAAAGGAAAGGAAAGGAAAGGAAAGGAAAGG